AGATTCCTTTATCGAGATATTTATTTCTTCATACCAGCTTTGACTGTCTAATGTCCTTTCATTGCACCCTGCGGGACTCTTAAACATTTCTTGCCGGGCAGGTGTAGTGATAATCAACTTCCTCAGTTTTTGTTAATCCATGAATGTCTTAATTTCTCTCACACTCTTGAAATACAGTTTTGTTAGATATGGGATTTTTTTTTTTTTTTTTTTAATGGTACGTGGGCCTCTCACTGTTGTGGCCTCTCCCATTGCGGAGCACAGGCTCCGGACGCGCAGGCTCCGGACGCGCAGGCTCAGCGGCCATGGCTCACAGGCCCAGCCGCTCCACGGCATGTGGGATCTTCCCGGACCAGGGCACGAACCCGTGTCCCCTGCATCGGCAGGCGGACTCTCAACCACTGTGCCACCAGGGAAGCCTGGGATTCTTGTTTGACAGGTTTTTTCTCTTAGCACATTGAATATATTGGCCCACTGCTTTCTGGCCTCCAACATTTCTGATAACAAATCTGCTGCTATTTTATTGAGGATCCCTTGTATGTGACAAGTCACTTCTCTTGCTGCTTTTGAGATTCTCTATCTTTGACAGTAAATTAACTTCTAAATTGATTAAAAATAAGAAAAAATCTTTTATATTTACTTAATTTTTACAATTTCCCTCACTTTTTTTCTTTGTGTAGATCTAATCTCTATCTTGTATCCTGTTCCTTCTTCTAAAAAATCTTTAGTTTTTCCTTTATGACCAGCTTTTTCTGGAAAAAATCTTTGCCTTAATTTTTTGAAAGATATTATTGCTGTATATGGAATTCTGGGTTGATAAGTTTTTTCTATTAGCATTCTAAAGATGTCATTTCCATTGTCTTCAGACTTGTATAGTTTCTGATGAGAAGTCTATTGAAACTCTTACATTTGTTCCTTGGTATAAGGAACAAATGCTCTCATGATTTTCTATTTATCTTTGATTTGAAGCAATGTGACTATGATGTATTTAGGTGTGTTTTTACAGTTGTAACATAATTGTTTTTTATCCTGCTTGAGGTTCTCTGGGATTCTTGAATCTGGCCAAAAATCCTTGGCCATTTTTACTTCATCTATTTCTACCTCATTTCTCTTTCTTCTACTTCTGGGACTTCAATTACTTGCATGTCATATTGTTTGATATTGTCTCCTAGCTCTTGGAGGCTCTATTCTCCTTACTTCCCCACCCCTCATTTTTTTCTTTTCTCTTGGTGTTTCTCTTTGGAAAATTTCTATTGATGTATTGGCAAATTTACCTATTCTTTATTCTAGTCTGCTAATGAGCTTGTCAAAGAACTGCTAATGAACTTAACCTCTGATATTGTGCTTTTGCTAGCATTTCCACTAATCTATTTTAAAAGCTTCCATCTCTGTGAAATTCCCCATTTGTTTTTGCATGTTGTTTACTTTTACATTTTGTCTTTTATTAATCACAGTTATTAAGGTATTTTGTGAGTTCCAATATCTGAGTCATCTCTGAATCTGGGTTTGTTATCTCTCGACAAAAGGTTTTTTTCCCCAGCTTTTTTGTGTGTCTCAATTTTTGACTGAACATCATACATGTATAGAACAGAAAAGACTAAGGTAGATACTGCTTATGCCCAGATATGGGTACATCTCTCTTTATATCAGACAGTTAATGTGGGGTGGTTGTATAGTAAAGAATTTGTGCTTTGCCTCGAGTTCCTGGGATGGGGCTTCTAAACCCTTGGAATTTCCTGAGCGATAGGAGTGTCTTTATTCTTTGTGGTGGGCTCAAAAGGATTAGAGTTTTGAGGCTTCGAGCCACATGATATCAGCCTGACCTTCTAAACACTGGAGAGGTGTCAGGGGCTGGAGATTGCTTTCTGTCACAGGGCCAGTGGTACAATTAATCATGCCTATGTAATGAAACTCCAGGAAAAACTCTGAACATTAAGGGTCATTTGAACTTCCTGGTTGGTGAGCACATCAGTGTGCCAAGACGGTGATGCATCCTGATTCCATGCGGAGAAGGCATGGAAGCTCCATGTTTGGGATCCTCCAAGACCTTGCCCTAAGTGTTCTTTACTTGGCTAAACCTTATTTGTATCATTACAGCAAAACTAGTCATAAGTATAATGTTTCCTGAGTTCTCTGGTTTATCCTAGAGAATTATCAAACCTGATAGGTTTGTGGGAACCCCCAAATTTGTGGTAAGTTGGTCAGAAGTGTGGGCAGTCTGGGTATATCTGAATTTATGAGGGAATTTTGTTGGGGACTATGACCTCAACTTTGGAGTTTGCATTAACTACAGTGGATAATATTATATCACACACGGCCAAAAAGTACATGAAAAGGTACTCAGCATCACTAATCATCAGGGAAATGCAAATCAAAACCACAATGAGATATCACCTCACACCTGTTAAGATGTCTTTTATTAAAAAAAAAAAACAAGAGATAACAAGTGTTGGCAAGAATTGGAGAAAAGGAAACCCTTGTACACTGTTGGTTGGAGTGTAAACTGGTACAGCCATGATGGAAGAGTATAGAGGTTCCTAAAAAAAAAAAAAAAAAAACCCGAAAACAGAACTACCATGTAATCCAGCAAGCCCCCTTCAGGGTATATACCTGCAGGAAATGAAATCAGTATCTCAGAGACATCATTGCAGCATTATTCACAATCTTCAACATATGAAAACAATCTAAGTGTTAATGGATGAATAGATACAGAAGATGTCAGAAAATATAAACATATAATAATATTTGGTCATGAGAAGAAAGGAAATCCTGCATTTGTGACAAGGATGAGCCTGGAGGATATTGTGCTAAGTGAAATAAGCCAGACAGAGAAAAACTGTATGACCTCACTTGTTATGTGGAATCTAAAAAAAAGGTCAAACTCAGAAACATAAGGTAGAATGGTAGTTCCCAGGGGCTAGGTGGGGGAAATGGGGAGATGCTGGTTAAAGGGTACAAACTTTGTTATAAGATGAATAAAGTCTTCAATATTTAATCATTAAAGTTCAGTAGTAATCATTAGCATTAACAGACATCTGCTCTGTATTGGTGTAGGATTTCTGGGCCCAAAATCATTTCCTGCCTCCCTCCCAGGAGAGAGGGTTTTTATTTCTATCCCGCCCTCAGCAACTCTGGATCTCTACTTGTATCTGGGGCTAGACTGTTCGCTACCCCCCACGCCACCCCCCGCACATACACGGACAGCTAGGTTTTGTTTCTGTTCCCTCCTTAAGCGCAATGGAATTTTCTCTGAGCCTTGGAGGTAAGAGGGCTTGCTGCCCCTGCTCTAGCAGCTTAAGACTTTTAAGAGAAGGGTTTGGGAAAGCAGGTGAGTCTTTGGGCATGCCACCCAATAGCAGCCTATCACTTCATGTTTGCCTGTGCCACTAAAGGCATCTCTTCAGGTCTCCTGCCCTGCTCCCAAACTTTCTTGTTTGTGTTTGGTAAAGGTCTAACTTCTCCTTTGGAAGTCCCTAGATATTCTAAACTGACATGCTACCCACACTTGGCCTTTAAGAATGTCTTTTTTGTTTTGCTTTTAATACATGTATTTATTTATTTGGTTGCACCAGGTCTTAGTTGTGGCAGGAGGGCTCCTTAGTTGTGGCTAGCCAGCTCCTTAGTTGCAGCACGTGGGCTCCTTAGTTGTGGCATGCAAGCTCTTAGTTGCGGCATGCATGTGGGATAAAGTTCCCTGACCAGGGATCGAACCCGGGCCCCCTGCACTGGAAGCGCAGCCTTATCCACTGCACCACCTAGGACTCCTAAGAATTTGTTAACATTTTAGTTGATTTCTTCCTATCCAGCCACCTTTGACTCTTGTGCTCTACTAAAGATGAAATGGGGGACTTCCCTGGTGGTGCAGTAGTTAAGAATCCGCCTGCCAATGAAAGGGACATGGGTTCGAGCCCTGGTCCTGGAAGATCCCACATATGGTGGAGCAACAAAGCCCGTGTGCCACAACTGCTGAGCCCGCATGCCACAACTACTGAAGCCTGCACGCCTAGAGCCCATGCTCCGCAACAAGAGAAGCCACTGAAATGAGAAGTCCATGCACCGCAACGAACAGTAGCCCCCGCTCGCCACAACTAGAGAAAGCCCACGTGGAGCAATGAAGACCCAATGCAGCCAAAAAAAAAAAAAAAAAGATGAAATGGTTTATTTCACAGATACTGAGTCCCATCAATTTACTTGGTTATCTTGAGGCCTCAACTATCTGATAGGCTCAAGAAAAATGATTTTTATAGATTACCTGGCATTTTTTTTGTTAAGATAGAAGAAACATTCTCATGGAGCTTTTTACATTCTAAGTGAAATCAGAACTCTCATCTGCTTATTCTTACAAATGAATTTTATTCATTTTCAATTATGAATAACAATTACATTAGAATCTTGACTAGAATTTTACTAAACTAACTTTGGTGGGATGAACAACATTATAGTATTTGGTCTTCCCATCCAGAAATACTGGTTTTCCTACTCATTTATAGAAAAAGCACACTCCAGGTTCCTTATGATATGGAGTCAATGATTTAATTGATTTTAACTTAAATTCCATATTAGCACAAACATAGAGGTGGCTTCTGGTATTAAAACACAGTTAAAGATAAACAGGAAAATCAGAAATTATTAGATTGGAACCAAATAATCATGTAGGTATTGAGAATCATAACAGAAAGTAAGCATTGTTTTAGCTCTGAAATTCCTAACAGACAAATCAAAATGCAAATAGTGTATTATATAGTTCTCTTAGTTTAATAGAAAGAATGCAATTTTATCAGGAGAAATTTTTCTTGCACTGAATCCTAGGAGGACTTTTTAATGTAGTTCCTTTTAGAAATAACAAGATACAAATTGAGTTCAAACACTGTTTGGTAGAAAATAGTCAAATGTCTTTCAAATGACCACTTCTTTTCCTCACCATAATAAATGCCAAGAGCACATTTCCTATATTAATAGAAGAATCAATAAGTGTGAAAAGCTGAAGTAACTCTGACAAGTTTTTCAGAACAATTGTTGAAAATATTTAGAAAACACCTTTAGTTGGAAAACAGCAGAAACAAAAACAGAAATATCACATTTCATATATGCAATAGAACACAATGCTGAGTTTAGTTCCATAATAAAAGTCATACCAATTTTTATGTGTGGCCAAGGATGGAAGTATGGATAAAGAGAAAGAACTGAAATCAAGGTAGAAGATAACTCTGCTTACTGCCTTCAAGTCTCATTTGGAGAGGAACCTCTGGAAAACCACGAGTTAGGATAACGCTAGTCTACTAGCATGTCAGAGGCAGAACCAATATAATCTCTAGAAATATAATTTGTCATTCCTCCAGGTAACTCCCTTAAGGGGGTTTGGTTCCACCAATGAATAAAGTTCCTAATTCTATACTAAGTTCATCCTTTGGGACATCAATCTCATCTCCTGCCTCTTCCCCAAGCTTCTTCCACCAGGGTGCTTGTATATGCTTCAGGGTGGTAAGATGCGCCTGCTTGGCCTTGGCTGCCACAGGCCTGGATCTGCTTAGGAAGAGCTCAGGTTCTTTTCCTTCTGCCTCCTTCAGACTTGGTGCTTCTGTAGTAAACAGAAAATAAAAAGGTGAGTGGAAGAGTTCTGTACCAAACAAACAGGAACTTGGAAACTACAGAGTTGGAACTCTACAATAGCAGGCAAAAACAAGGTTCCAACTCTGAGTCTATTATTATTGTCAGCTGTAGATGGCATGTGACTATTCACAAGTTGTAGCCCATGCTTCCGTGTTTAAAGGGAAAGAATAAAAGAAAGAGGTAGATTTTTTTAGATGGTTTATTTAAAAGAGCAGGAACTTTTAATATAATAGCAGAATCCTTACAGATGAGAGGCTCAGTTCCAGCCACCTATCCATTCAAAAACACAAAATTGGCAAGTAATGGCTCTAAAGAGAGGACCCTGGCCCTTTTTGCTCTACAAATACTAAAAGTGTTTCCGAGGCCATCTGAGACACTGGCTTCATGGATGGGATCTCTCATTAAATGCACCAGTGGTTGTGAGATGCAGATGAATTAATTTTTGTGAAAACACTTCATTAAAGTGCCACCATAACCATTCTCATCATCTACTTTTAAAATATGTTCAAAAAGCTTTTCATACTATATGACAGAATCTGGCTAGTAGGGCTCAGCATCTTTATAATTAATAACTTTTCATAGTTGACACATATCAATGATCGCAAGGCTGAGGGAAGCAGTCAAGAAGGTTATGGGGTCTGCATCATTTGAAATCATTGTGTAGTGATATGATCTAGAAGGAGAAGTTTCTGAGGATAGGAGATGGGCTAATAGACCACTAAATGGTGTTTTCCTTCTGAAGATCTAGATGTCACAAAATCTTACATAGGCTGTTCCTTTTAGGAAGCAAAAATGGAATGAGCACATACTCATCAACTGTTCGATGTTGGTGCTGATCCGAGCCATCAGTGCCTCCCTGTGCTGTTGGGCTCTCTCTTCTAGAGCCCTGCCCATGAAGTAGTGTTGCAGTCGTTCTTGGGCTTGGGAATGGAGCTCCCTGCTGATCACATCTGATACCTCAGAGCCCTGGGAACAAAGGACAAAAAAAGTGTCACATGAAGGACACATATATATCAAAGTATGTTTCACTTAACCACTTAGTAGAGGTTCTAGAATGGTTAGCTGTCTCTCATCAATTGAATGTTATGGTTGATATCTACCTTGTACTCTTGAGCAAGCATTAAATAGCCTCTTAAAAGCAGCTTTAAATGAAAATGCAGGTGGGCCAGATTCTTTTCGGTATGCTCCTATACCTCACTTCCTCACATAGTATGGTATTCTGGGAGAAGAGATAAGATTGAGAAATCATAGTGAAAATTACAAATGGTTTGGTAAAGATACTCGCCTGGAAGAGGAGTAACAAGACCAATCCTTTTGTTCTAGCCCCACCTGGTAAGACTACCTAACTTCTTGTCCTATCCCCACTCCCAAACTTATCTAAGCCATAATGTTATAACGGCTTCTAATTTCACAGAACAAGGGACAAAATCATTCAAAGGACCATATTCTTTTAGCTAGTCAGCTACTTTAAAAGGAACTTACCTAATCAGTTTGGACAAGGATGAAATAATCTCAACTTTGAAGCTGATAGAGCTTCTGACACCCCAGCTTTCTCAAATATTCCAGTTCATGGATCTTGGATACAGCCCTGTTCCAGCTAACACCTTACTTTTCAGCCACAGAGTAACAGCTGTACTAGAGTATGGCTAAAGCAGCACTTCTTTTTTAAACAGGAGAATGCATCACAATCACACACAGTGCATTAAAAAAAAATAGAGATCAAAGACCTAAACATAAGGACTAAAACTATAAAACCCTTAGAAGAAAAGATAGAGGAAAAGCTTCATGATATTAGATTTGGCGATGATTTCTTAAATATGACACAAGGCACAGACAACAAAAGAAAAACCAGACAAACTGTACTTCATCAAAATGAAAAAGTTTTGTGTATCAAACGACACTATCAACAGTAAAAAGGCAGCCCACAGAATGGAAGAAAATGTTTGTAAATCATACATCTGATAAGGGATTAATATCCAGAATATACAGAGAACTCCTAAAACTCAACAACACAAAAACAAACGACCTCATTAAAAAATGGGCAAAGGACTTGAATTGAAATTTCTCCAAAAAAGATACACAAATTGCCAATAAACATATGAAAAGATGTTCAAAATCACTAATTATTAGAGAATGCAAATCCAAATCACAATACCACTTCACATTCATTAGGATGTGAAAATAATAAATGTTGGTGAGGATGTGAAGAAGTCTTGCTGATGCAGTACGGAAAACCACTAATTTGAAGTGAAGTCTCATTTACTATTGACTTTACCTCTATGGTCCACGTAATTATAAGAAGACCCCAAATCCATTGACTACGGTAAAGCAACTGCATTACCTTATGCCAAAAATAAATGTACATATACAGCTGAGACACTTATTTGTTGGTGAATATCACCCACTGCAATAATGTAACACTGGTACCATGGCACAAAAGCCTACATACTGGATGTCTTCTGATATAGTCATCCACTTGTTGCTTCAGTTCAACTCTGCGTGCATCAGTGAGTTCTCTGAGTTCTTGCCAAGGAACAAATAGTTTCTTTTTCTTACGGCACTTTGCTAGGAATTTAAGAGTCTGGGACAAAAAAAAAAAAAAAAAAAAAGATTTGTGATTTTTTTCTTCCCTAACAGAACTATTTCCTTCCTACAAAAACATATGATAGTGACAACAGCTGTTAACTCTTTTATGTATGGGGAGAAAGATATGATTGTGACTGGGGTGACAGAGGACAATAACTTTATCGTTATATTCTTCTGTAGTGTTTTAATATTTTACAAGGATATATTCATGTATTATTTGTACAGAAGGCAATAAAGAAAAAAAAAAAAGGAAATCAGCTTTGGGTTCTAGTCTTAATTCTAGTCCCTTATAAAACTGTTTGATTTTGGGCAAGTCATTCAATCTCTATAGGATAGGTTCTATGTCTACAGAAAACAGGGATCCCAATTGTACTTAGCCAAAGGATTGTAAAGATCAAGGAGAAGGTATACAAGAAAAAGCTTGGTAAATGAATGTGCTTTCTCCTGTCCTTCAGAATGAATTCCTGGTAAGAAATCTTTTAACAGGCAAGATGTGGAGACACATCTGAAATTATTCTGCCCAATTTTTTTTTTCACTCTTCTCCCTTCTTTGTAGTTTTTATTTTCATCAAAGTTATATGTTCATATTGCTTAAGGCAAGGGTTGGCAAATTTTGGCCCACAGGTCAATCCAGCCTGCTGCCTGTTTTTGAACAGCTGAAAAATGTTTTTTTACATTTTATATGATTACAAAGTTCAAAAGGAAAAGAATTAATTCATGACATGTGAAAATTATGTGAAATTCAAAATTCAGTGTCTACAAATGTTTACTGAAACAAGAGTCATGCTCATTTGTTTACATACTGTCCACAGCTTCCTTTGGGCTACAACTGTAGAGTCGAATAGTTCCAAGAAACTGTATGACCTGCAAAACCTAAAATATTTTACTATTTGATGCTTTCCATAAAGTTTGTTGATATAACTATTGTTTAAAGTGTCAGTTTTAGAGAATTGTTAAAAACCTCTCCCCCCAAAACAGCAACTTTAGTTCTTTCAGGTTTTTCTTCTGATGTTTATCTCCATCTATATTTTTGTGGTTTTTTTCAGTGATAGGTATTATCTATTGACTTTCTTGTATGAAAGATAAGGACTTAGCTCTCTTTCACACATACTTTCTATATCTCCAACTATCCAATATTACTAAATCATAATTTTAGTTAATGTTGTGTTTATATTATTATGACTACATAAAGGCTATTCATTTTTCAACCATGTAGTGATGATTACTTTTTCTTCCTTGCATATTTTTATTTTCACTGGAATTAATAACTCTATTATTTTCCTGTGCTTATTTTTCTATATATTTATCACTGATTATCACAATTTCTGCCCTGTTCATACATTAAAACACATCAGGCAATCTATCAAATTAATTTTCTTAGATACACATATTCTGGAGCTTTCTGACTTGTTCCAATCTGGATAGATTATTCCCTATGCTTGGTGCATAGCTGTCATCCTGAGATCTCCCATTCCCCATCATCTCGGTGACTCTTCATCTTTCCTTTGTGTTTCCTGGATTCCATGTTGTCCTTTCTTGGGTTATTCCTTTGTTTCAGAGACTTTGTGATGCATAAAAATGTCTTTAGTGTATCTTTACCTTTAACTGATGGTTTAGTAGGATGTAGAATTCTAGTTGGAAATCATTTTCCCTCAAACATTTGACAGCCTTACTCCAATATCTTTTAGCTTCCAATGATGCTGTTGAGGAGTACTTTTTGCCACAGTGTATTTCACAATAATGTGAAATAGATGTGAGTGTATTTTTGTCATTGTATTGGACATTCAGTCTTTTTAATCTAAACCACATGATATTCAATTCTGAGAAATCTTAAATTATTTGATTTCTTCTCCTCCAGTTTTTTTTTTTTTTCTTTGTTTCAAATGTTTGACCTCCTAGACTGGTTCTGTTTTCTTTTTGCCCTGCTCTCTAGATTTCCCAAACCTTTTTTTTCTAGACCTTTTTTTATGTCTTTTTTTTTTTTCTGTCAAATTTTATTCCATTTGTTCCCTGTTATCCAGTATCTTGGTTTTTGTTTCATGTATTATTTTCTTTTAGCTCTCGGAGAAAATAATACATTTTAAAAGTTTTCTTATCCCTGCAATATCTCTATTTCCACCAAGTAGTTTTATTCTATTTGTTTCGGCCTTAGCTTCCCGCAGACGTCCAGTGATACTTTCAGCTGATATTTAAGAGTGGGCACTAAAAAGCTGTTTAGAAATGCTGAGCAGATGGGTAGGGTTTATCTATTCTGTACTTCTTTATAGGGCTACTGAACTGGGCTGTTTCATTGGAGTACCCCATTGTGAGTATATGTATAACTATTTCCTTGGGCTGTTCAGATTTCCTAAAGAAAATGTTTTCAACCTACTGTTTACAGGATACAAGCCTGGCTGACAGCACTGAGACCTGAGAAGAAAAAAGGGCTTGGAGGTTTTCACATTCAGTATAAAGATTGCCTTAATACCCTTGTTTTTACTATCGTACTTGAGCCTTCAACTGCGCTTACATTCTCCTATTGAGATATTTTCTTCTTTTCTTCTATTCTTCCCTTTTCTTGATTTTTCTTCCTTGCTTCTCCTTCTATCTTTCCTCTACTTCCTGCTTTTAGTATGAAGCCAGGCTTATGATGCTACTCTGGGAACTCAGAGTAAAGTTTCCAGAACAGAGGAATTTTTGCCCTTAGATCAGAAAAGTCCACCTTGACATCTCTGTCACTTTTCCTCATTCTTTGTCATTTTAGGACTCTCTGAAATTGTATTTATCTCCCAATGTTTATTTTTTCAACTGGTTTGTTTCAGTAAGTGCTTTTGTTGTTGGTCTTTAATAGATATGTATATTTGATACTGTTTTGCTATAATCAAGTAGCAAGAACTAGCTATCATTCTGGCTCTAGAGAGCAGACGCCAGCAAACATCACCTTCCTTCTGAGCTGCTGCTGCTTCTTTTTTTTTTTTTTAAGAAGGAACAATTAGGTTTATTTGCTTGTGCCAGGAAATATCTCACATACATTGCTATAAAAACCATGTTTATCGCTTTAGTGTGGAATTCTTTAGAAGCATTGGCAAAGTCAGCTTTGGAAACTGGATGCACTGAACTGGTGAATGCCACAAATGGAAAATTCTAGAAGGCAGCCAGACCTGCCCTTGTGCTTGTCACTAGTTTCCAGTCTTTGACTTCCAGGTTTTGGCTCTTTCAAAGCCATTTTTCACATTTCTGAAATCAAGAATGGCCTGAGAAATCTCTTCATTTGTGTGCATCAAAAATGAACCTAGAGTAAAAAGAGACATTCAGAAAGTTCTGGGTGACGAGAATATTTTCTTCTACCACTAAAATGGTGCATATTTCTGTAGTTCTTAATTTGAAACAAACTCAGGCATATCTGAATAGCAAACGGTTATTTTCCCAGCATCAGATCCTCCAGGACTGTAAAACAGGTTTTTAGGATTGTGTATGATTATAAAGACCAAACTTCAGATAAACATATGCAATTAGACCTCACTCATCCATTGCAGGCTGTCATCAGCAGTGGCAATCTCTTTATTAAAAACATTCTTAGGTTTGGTTCTATCATGACCATTTTTGTAGTTTTAGTTCTTTTTACCTTCTTTATTTTTTTTAATTGAGGTATAATTGACATACAATATTATATTAGTTTCAGGTGTCCAACATAATGATTCGATATTTGTATATATTGGGAAATGATTGTCACAAAAAGTCTAGTTAACATCTGTCACCATACATAGTTAGAGAATTTTTTTTTCTTGTGATGAGAACTTTAAAGATTTACTGTAGTTGTCAGTTAAATAGCATTGGCTGATGTCAAGAACTGAACTGATCTGATAAAAAAAATTGGCAAATCTTGTCATAGTTTTGGTGTCTCTGCAGTATATGAGGCTGTGTCCTTACATGAGGGGTCTAAGTCATTTTTGAAAACTAGTAGCACCTTGTTGACAATAACAAAAGATTACAAAAATTTCAAGTTAAGAAAGAATCACATTTTGGATTCTTTAGGGGTCAGCACACTTCTCCATGTTGAACTGTTTCTCTCTCTCTTTTAAAATTTATTTATTTAATTAATTTATTTTTGGTTGCACTGGGTCTTCTTCATTGCTGTGCACGGGCTTTCTCTAGTTGTGCACAGGCTTCTCATGGCGGTGGCTTCTCTTTTTGCAAAGCACGGGCTCTAGACACACGGGTTTCAGTAGTTGTGGCTCACAGGCTCTACAGCGCAGGCTCAGTAGCTGTGGCACCAAGGGCTTTGTTGCTGCATGGCATGTGGGATCTTCCTGGACCAGGGATCAAACCCATGTCCCCTGCCTTGGCAGGCGGATTCTTAACCACTCGCTACCAGGGGAGTCCCAACAACTGATTGTCTTTCTTTTCTTTTTTTTTTTTTGCGGAACGCGGGCCTCTCACTGTTGTGGCCTCTCCCATTGCAGAGCAACAGGCTCTGGACGCGCAGGCTCAGCGGCCACGGCTCACGGGCACAGCCGCTCCGCGTCATGTGGGATCTTGCCAGAACCGGGGCACAAACCCATGTCCCCTGCATCAGCAGGTGGACTCTCAACCACTGCACCACCAGGGAAGCCCAACAACTGGTTCTCTTAATGGCTCTCCAGGAATTAGGACAAAGTGGCTTCTCTTAGGATCCTTGTTATCCACCTGGACACTGTCACCTTCCCCCAGCACAGCTGTGTGATGAGGTTCTATCTTTTGTTGGGTGTTAGGTCCAATATGCATGTTTCCAGATATGGTATAAATGAAGCTTGATCACCCTTTAGGAATAGGCTGGGAATGCTTTGCTCCTTGGTCCAATCTTAAGTCCAAATATAAAGTTGGTGTGTAAGTGTAAATCTTGGACTTGATTCCCAGGGCTTCTCCAGAAATGACAGCAACAGTAACACCATCCTTACGGGTTTAGGGATTTTGCTGCTTTTCACTTCCTGGTACCAAGGCTCCACCATCTTCTGTGAGCTCCTCAAATTAACCCACAGCTGTAGGCCATGGACTGACTCCTCCGAGCAAGGCATCTCTGCACAATGCCCCAGCCCATGGTCATCCACTGCAGGTCTCCTGTGTTCAACTGACCAGCATGTCCACAGAAGTCTTCGCTGGCCATGATAACCCCCTTCCAGGAGGTAATACACTGTTTCAAAACCTCAGTGTGGGTGATCAGGAAATCCACCTGGTCTACCGCCTTTAAATTCATCAAACAGTAAAAATGGATCCAGGTTTTTAAACTAAGGTCAGCCAATGCTTCTGCGGACCCATGCTCCAACCCCTTCCGACTGCTCCCAGCTAAGCACTGAGGGTAACCTTGCAGGATGCCATATAAAGGCTAAAATGCGAGCATGCTGAGGCTTAGCAGATTGCAGTGCTCTGCAGAAAGAAAAGTCATTTGCCACTTGCACCAAATTGCAGAGGACCATTTAAGCATCCCTGGCCATCTCCCTCGGAGACTCCCCTGGGAGTCTAAAGCTGGCCGGGGAGGGTGGGGTCCTGCTAAATGATCGATGGCACCGGCCCCGCCTGGCCCCATGGGTACCTGGTACTCCAGTGTGCTTGGGGGCCCCTTTTGAGCTTAAGAGATGAAAAAGCAAGAAAAGAAAATCCTGGAACATTAAAAAGGAAAAGAGAGCTAATTCTTCAAATTTAATTCTAATACTATACCACTACATAGAACTCCAACTTGTTTACGTAAGGATGTGTAATTTGAAATTAGCAGGTTTACATAAGGTTTTCTTGATTTTTATCTATCTGAGAAACAATGCCTCTCTTTTATGCAAAGTGAGGGACAGAAGGTAAACAACAGTTCTGGCCTTTGTCTGCCAAGGACACTAATAACCAGTTCCTCCTGAGGGATAAGTTCAATGAAATGATATTCCAACTTCCTTCTGTGAAATTGACAATTATTTCCTTTTCTTTGTTATCAAGGTTATCTGCAGTGCTAATAGAAATATAAAGTGAGTCAAATATGTAATTTTAAATTTTCTGGGAGGCAGAATAAAAAGGTAAAAACAGGTGAAATTAATATTTTGCATGTACTGAGTTACATAAGCATAACTCAATATATGTAAAATATTAGCATTTCCACATGTAATTAAGACTCCGTGCTTCCACTGCACCACTGCGGGGGACACAGATTCCATTCCTGGTGGGGGAACTAAGATCCTGCATGCTGCCACGGAGCCCAGCCAAAAAAAAAAAAACAACGCAGTAGCCATGAGGTAAAGGTATTAGAAAGGACCCAAGGCACTGATATCCACGGGTCCATGGGTTAATCCTTAGATGGCATTGCTTAGCAGAGGGTAAACAGCAGATGTGGGTGTGATTCAGTGATGGTGCAGGACTGTTTGTTGCACACATGGCCTAAAATCCCCAAAAGAGCCTGAGAAAGATGGAGGCGGCAGATATCTCTTCTTATTTCCCTAGTATTTACTCTGTTTTTTAAGCGGTTTAAAAAAATCTTTGTAAAAGCTTAATCAGAGAAATCAATGAGACTGTTCAAAATCTATCACTGTGAAAAACTGAAATTGACCTAAAGTTTAACAATAAGGGATTATAAAACTAAATGCTACATGATCTGAAATCCTAATATGAACGTTAACTATGTATAACTAGATATTAGGAAAACGGGTCATTAAGTGAAATAGACAGCCTTGTACTATGCTTTTCCAAGGTAATAAAATATTACTATGCTCCAGATAAATCCCAGGAAGATCATCATTTAAGAACACCATTCTATAATTCAAGAATTATAATGACCTAATTATACCTAGTGTATTATCTGTGCATTAAAAAACATCTAATATGATAAGCTGCTCCTACGTAGGACTTTACAATTGACAAAATACTTTCCCATAAATTAGGTCATCTGATCCACATAACAACTGAGTAAAAAAGATAGGGTAGACATTCATTCATATGTCAAGCACATGCAGGAAGCTGACAATAAATAAGACTTCGTTCCTTACCCTTGAGATTCTCGTTGCTCAAGTAAGAAAGAAAAAAATTAACAAATAACACTGCATTTTGGTAAATGATGTACAAGGGTCTATGGAAATACTAAGGACTGAATGTCTAAATCATTTTGGCCAGTGATAAGGATGTTCTCATTTTAAGAAACTAAGGCTCAGAAAAGCTAAGTGATTTGACCAAGACTTTACAGCAGATAAACAGGAAAGTCAGGTTTGAACCCATGTCTTTGCCTCCTGATCCAGTACTCTTTTTGCTAAATCAGACTCACTGCTCTTTGAAGTGTGACAGCTGCTTTATACTCCACAAGAGATGGCCTCTGTTGGCGAAAATTCTTCCTTTCCCTGTACCCTCTCCAATGTTTCTGGATAATCAATGCTGATTTCTCTTCTATTTCCCGATTATGTTTTTCCACCTGACCTAAAAAGATAACAAACACTATTACAACATACTCACTTCTATGCTTTCTCAAGTTCTAGAATCAAGACAATGAAAGTACCAACAATCTTGCAGTGCTTTTATTTTTTTCAATATTGATTTTCCCAATTCTATTATTTTACAATGGTTGTAAGATTTTAGAAACAAAGCGCTCCAAAAGCTTTCTCAGATTATGCATCTTCTTTAGAAAAGACTCATATTATTATTTTGTCTGAGGAATGAGAAAAGGGCTAAAAATCCAATAGCAAGAACATTTAGAAAAAAGAATCACAAGTAAATAGTTAGAAAGTCATTCAGTACTACCAAAAGGGAAAAGCACATTGTGTATATATGTTACCTACTCTGCGTGGTTTTAAATTTCTCTTTAGTCACTCAGTTAGTTCTACAGATGACTTTCTTTTTACTTTCTGGGAGTTAGTCAGCATATAGTCTAGGGTTCACAGTAGCTAAGTGACAGAATAAGGCAGAAGGTAAAAATAAAAAGGGATATATTTGAGAGACAGTACCAAAAATTGATAGGATTTAGTGGTGAACTAGATGTGGAGGGAGGGAAAAAATTGTAGGATGTCTCATAGATGGGACACTGAGTAGACTGTTGGTGCAATTACCTGAGAGATGAGGAATACAGGAAGAGGAAATCAGTGAGGGAAGATAATGGCTAGTTTTGAGGATGTTTGTGGATATCTAAGTAAAGCTAACCAATAGGCAGCTGGCTACAGGGCTGTGTTGTCCAATGTAGTAGGCACTAGCCACAAATGGTTACATAAATTTAAAGAAAGTAAAATAAAATTTTAGATCCTCAAGTGCACTAGCCACATTTCAAGTCAACAGCTACCTCTAGCCATTGGTACTGTGAAGATACAGAACATTTCATTTTGTAGAAAGTTCTACTGGGCAGGGCTGGTCTAGAGCTTAGGAGAGAGGGTGAGGATGCAGACAAGATTCCAGAGTGCTAAGCACTCAGTTGGTAGTTGAAGCTGCAGTTATGGATGGAATACCTCAGGAAGAGCAACATGAGAATAATGGGGTAAGGATGGAACCCTGGGAAACATCTGTATTTAAGGGAAAGAAAGAGAAATATGAGGCTAGTGAAGGATACTGAGAATGAGTAGTAGAAGGGGGAAGGAGTAGATCTAAAAAGGAATCTTGAAATGACTCAGATCTCCCAGACTACACTTTAATATTAATTTCAGCTTAGTGTGTCAAAAGTGGCAAGAGGTGTCACAAGGTTTGTACTGAGTTCTGAGGGCAGAATGTAGCAATATTCTAACACCTTACTTAAGTTCAAGGGGGTTCTTTCTTTATGCCAAAGACAGATATCTTTAAGCATAAAATTTTGTTTCACTAATTTATCTGAAAGAAAAGAAAAATTACTGGAGAGATTGCTCATCATAAACTAATAGGCCTTAATCAAAAAAAATAGTTACTTTTTTTGACTCAAGAGATTTAATAAGATTTATCTGAAAAAGGAGAAACAGGGAAAAGGTCCACATTTAAAAAAATAAATCATCAGGTAGCTAGGAAATTTGGTTTATTAAAAGATACCCTAATCAGTCTTAATTACACTTATAAAATTGATACTGCCACACACCTGGATGAACTATTTCAAGCATACTCAGCCGTAATTCTCGGGAAAGTCTCATGGCTCTCTGCCTTTGAAGTTGCAGTTGTAATCTGCGGTCCTCTTCTTCCTTCTGTCTACTTAGCTTCAGTAACATCTTTGTTCGCTTAGATCTGTGATGGAAACATTAAGTACACACAATTTTCATAATTATATGTCCACTCAAGAAGTATTTATGAAAAACGGCTTAACCTCACTAGTAATCATATAAATACAGACAGCAAAAAAAATTTCAAAGATAATTCCTAGTGTAGTTAGAGTATGATGAAATAAGTTTTCATGTGCTGCTCTACAACCTTTCTGAAGAAATATTTTGGATACATGCATCAAAATATTTCTGAAGAAATACTTAAAATATGTATCAAAAGCCTTAAAAATGTTAACCAATTAATTCCATTTCTAATTATTTTCTTAAGGTAAAATCCAACACATATGTAAAGACTTATGTTAAAGGATGTTCTCCATAGCATTACAACAGTAACAAGTTGAAAACAAACCATTTGTCCTACAATAGTGAGTTATATAAATAAATACTGGTTCATTCACTGGATGGAATTCTATAAACTATGAAAAAATAAAAATTTCAAAGGAGCAATCAACTGTCCCTAAGGCAAACAAAGAAGAGATAGATTTATGCCCTTAAGCTCGGTTTCAAGGGGGAAGTTAAAGGGTAGTGGAATATGCCACTCTGGCATAAAGATAGTTTTGAGCTGGAGGCAAATGAGAATCAGGAAACACAGAAAGAAGCCTTCCCAGAGGATCCCTTAACTGTCTAAAAGCAGAAACAGCTGAGAAATGAGGACTGCCATAAATTTCCCCTCCCAAGGAAGTTTTATGGCCATAGAGATGGAACTGCACAAATAACCCATATCTTCCATAAGTTCCCCAATATATTTACCTTCCCCAATATACTTACCTTCCCACAGTTTGTTGCCCTCAGAAGCCTAAAATCCTCTTCTTTTCACCTGTCACTTCTCTATAAATTATTCTTTGTTAACATCTATATAGGCCCCAATTATTATTATTATTATTTTTTTAAGGTAAGAAGTGGATTTATTTAGAGAAATACATGTTCCATAGACAAAATGTAGTCTTTCTCAAAAGGCGAGAACGGCCCTGGGAGAAACACACTCCACAGAGTGTGGGCCATCTCAGAGGGCGAGAGCTATATAAGACCAAATTCTAACCACCCCTTTGAGTTATGCATCATGTCAGGTTTCTTCCATGTGACATGTGCTACACGTTAAGAAACTGTTTTTCTCTTGTTAATCTGTTTTAGTTTTTGTCAGTATAATTTTCAGGGCCCCAACCAACGAACCTAAAATGTATAGAGGTAAAAACTGTTTTCTTCCCCTACAAAGTCAAACAAATAAAATTAAAATACCTAAGTATCAGCACCATGATAGAGGAAGGTAAATTGTGAGCTTTCCTGCTTGTGAGGCAGCTGTTAGCTGCTTCAGTAAACCTTGCTGAGGAAAAGGGTACTTAACAGAAAATAAAGTTTCTGACAATGAAAAGTGATTAAATAAAGAAGAAACCCCCAAGAAAGTGCTTTAGCAAGGGTGTGACTATAAAAGAGTACCTCTTGTTGAATCCGAAGCTCTGATGAATCTAGGTCCATAACTGTGAGTGGTGGGCAGTCCCTCCCCCAAAAAAACATGGGAGAGGGAAACTACTCTGAGATAATAACCTGACCAGAAAGAGACAGAAATAACCTTGGCAGAAAGCCCAGATACAAAGGAAGTAAAAGAAATTTGCATAAATTGTTGCTGTAACTAATAGAAGAGGAAAGATGCTGAAGCCTGGAGCAAACTGGAGATTAAAAAACTAAAAACTCATTATAATGTGAGATTTAAGTTTTGGCTTCATGGCTAATGTCTTATAATGGATATATTTATAACTGGTCTGGTGTTGTTACATAAAGCAATGGAATTTCTATTTTAAAATAGTGGAATCTTAATTAGATTCCACAGATACCCCTCTAAGAGGACAAAATCTTTAATCCTAGGATGCTTTTAAGTACAGATTTTAATATTGCAAAGAAAAGTAAACTGGCAAATTTGGCAACTACTGTAAGACTAAACATTAAAGGTCTGAATCCATGGCATAGGGGCACCTTTAAATGTAAGAGGATACATAGCTGAGAATGGTAGCAGGAAGAATCCATAAGGGCTAACTACTCTGAGTTCACTACAAAGGTAAGGCTATACCAAGAACATCTCAGACTCTTGAATAGAAGAATATACACTGTGACTCTCAAAATATTCATCATTTCCCAAACTTATTTAACCAAAGAAATAACTTTTTAAATATTTTTAAAGAAATAGCTAGTAGGATAGACAAACTTTGAGCAATGCTGGAATGGATTATACTTGCCTCTCATGAGTACTATTTACTTAACAGATGTGCCTGTCTAACTAGATTTGTGAATCTTCAAGGGCAAAAAATGTGCCATATGCATTTTCCTCTAAGTGCTCAGTAACATGCTAAAAAAACCTTTTTATTATTTTAATCTTGTGAGGTACATAGACAATTATCCCCATCTTATAGATGGGAAATTTGAGGCGAGAGAGGGAGGCACCTTGTCCAAGATCATTCAGCCCATAAGTTGCTGAGAAGGGATACAAACTCAAGTCTGTTTACTCTCCCAATACTTAGCACAGCCTCTGGCATATATTAGGCACTTGAAGCATGCTTAAAAAATTAACGTTTTTTTGGCTACCAACAAAACTCATGCCCAATGATATTAATAACTTATCTTTTAAGTCTTCTCTGAAGGAAACTTTTATCAATGAAAAGCATGTCCACTAAGGGACACAGCCAGAGTGGCTTCAATACCTTACACTAACCCATCCAGATTCTTAGAGGCAATGGAAAGGAAACCCACAGACACAAATGACTTAGCTCCTAAGGTCATTTATGATAAAGTAGAGCCATCTCAGAGGTGATTTCTCATGCAGCCTAACTTAAAGCTAAATTTTAGTTCACTATTTTTTTTTTTTTTTTTTTTTTTCCTTGCGTTATGCGGGCCTCTCACTGTTGTGGCCTCTCCCATTTGCGGAGCACAGGCCCGCGTCTCCTGCATCGGCAGGCGGACTCTCAAGCACTGCGCCACCAGGGAAGCCCCTAGTTCACTATTTTAAAACACATTTGTAACTGAGAAACACAGCTGCAGTTATTAAAAGAATAGTTTCAGCTTTCTTAAAAAAAAACATTGACTTCTGGAATATGCAAGTTACACTTTAGTGAACTAAAATTTAGCTTTAAATTAGGTTACATGAAATCACCTCTGAGATGGCTCTAATTTATCAACAATGACCTAAGAGCTAACTCATTTGTGGGTGGTGTGTGTGTGTTCTTTTTGTCACCTCTAAGAATATGGATGGATTAGTCATGTAAAAACTGGGCCATGTCTTCAGTATTTTGTTTTTAGTTTACTTGAAATAGCAACAAATGACAAACTATGTCATATCTCAATGACCATATGTATCCATGCCATATTTACTGAGGAAAATCAGGTTAAAATACTTAAAACTTTTTGTACTCATACACATTTTTACCATAATTACATATGAACAATTACGGCAACTTTTGGTTTTAAGGGTTTAATGAGATAATTGACCATTACTGGCTCCCTCTGTAGGCCTGGCCCACAAGAAAGTCTTATTAAGTGAACAGCATTGTGTATTTGTTACATCAGATTCCTGTCTTACATTATGTCTTTTGCTTTTGAAAGTACATCTGGTTAATGAAGTGCTGGTACTCAGAAATGTATGAAGCAAGAATGAAAGAAACAGATTAGAATATTGAAAAAGAAAAAAAAAGACACCCCAAACTCTTAAGTTTTCACTCAGCTATACTCTAATAAGATATATCTATAAGATATAAGATACTCTAATAAGATATATCTAGCCCTCTCAGATTATAATTCCTCTCACCCAAATTTTTTACCTGAAACTCCTCTGCAAAGTAATCACAGCAGATGGAAGCTTCTTTAATCTCTTTCTAGTCTGGAAACCCTTCCAATAAGCTTGAATCAAGCAAGCTGCTTGATGCAGTTTCTGAAATTAAAGGCCAGAATTAATTTAGAGACATCTCTAGGAAAGTCTTTTTTAGAAGTTTACTTCTTAAAATATCAGGCCTGGGCAAGTATTAATCTCCATTTTTAATAAGCTGAGCAGGAGGCAACATCTGCATAGGGCCAGGACAGGGAAGGCCTAAGAATATTAAACCTGCTCTCCCAAAGGAAGCTCAGTTAGGCATTATCTAGAATGTATTCAAGATACAGTCTAGTTAGCTTCAAATTCTCCCTGATTAATCTCACTTCCATTCCCATTACAAGGATTTCATAGTTTTGCTTATTTAATGTTTTAACATCTTTGCTTCACTTCCTATGCCTGGTTTCATTTATTCAAAGATTCAAGGGTATTCAAGAGTCAAGGGACTCTTTGTATAGGTTTAAAAAAAAACGCTCTGGGGCTTCCCTGGTGGCGCAGTGCTTGAGAGTCCGCCTGCCGATGCGGGAGACGCGGGTTCGTGCCCCGTTTCGGGAGGATCCCGCATGCCGCGGAGCGGCTGGGCCCGTGAGCCATGGCCGCTGGGCCTGCGCGTCCGGAGCCTGTGCTCCGCAAATGGGAGAGGCCGCGACAGTGAGAGGCCCGCATAACGCAAGAAAAAAAACAAAAAAAAAACAAAAAAAAAACGCTCTGGGGTTAAAAATTTAGACCATAAACAACTCCTTCTCCCATCAAACTATGGCTGCTCTGGATGTTAGGGGAAAATAAGTAAAGGAAGGAGGAGAGAGAGCAAATAAAAGATTCAAGAGACTACCACTATCCAATATTTTGAAACTAAAATGTTTACTGAAATGTTAGTAAATATCATGCAAATTATTTTTATAATTTAATACCTGCTCTTCTACTTCCTGATAGACCTTAGGGCTTAAAAGACCAATGAGCTGTCTAAGTTCTTGACTAAACTCTGTCCCACGCTCTTGTTTATTTAGTAGACTTCTGAGTCCTGAAATGCAATAACAAAGGCACAACTATTAATAATAAAATATGATTTTGTTATCCAATCAGAATTAATTTGAGGTTAAAAAGTCTAGTTTAGAAACAAATGAAACAATAACAAGATTAATCACATGATTTTTCTTTTTCCTTTTCTCAAAAACTTCTAGATTGAGGTCTCTAGGATTTTCCACTGTCCTGGAGTTCTTATGTGCTTACTCGTGAGATCTGATGCAAAATCTGTCTAGTCAACTTCTTTAATTAAAAAAAAAAGGGAGAATGGAATCACTGCGATAAGTCAAAGGGTAGAGACATATAGTTGTTTTTTTTTTTTTTGAACATAAATACCTTAAACAAAAACATTTAAAAAAAGATAATGAATACATACTGAGTAAATGCCTATCCTGTGGAAGCACTTAAGCAGGTTATTAGTTACTACTAATTAAATGGAGTTATTATTACATAAAAATATACAGTACTGTATGTAATTTGGGGTAAATCAATAGGTTCTTGAGCATTTATTATAGGAGAAGTGCTATAATATTAAAATACTGCACTTTCACCCCAAATTAAAACTGAGTAGTAATATAAGTTACAAAGTAAGTACTATTTCCAGCGTATGGAGGAATGATGTATTATAATGTATGTACGCAAGATACATTAGCAAGGGAAAATGGCCTTGGAGTGTACAACTGGGGAAGCCACTAGATAGGTCTTTCCATGTCTTATACTTTCTTCAAGACTCAAGTTCTCAGCAGTATTAATAATTGTAAAATATCTTGAGGAAACTGAATAAGTTCTACTGTTGAGAAAAGAAAGGGAGACAGCTTAAGATAAAATTCCTTTAGAATGAACTGTTGGACATTCACATTTCTATAGAAGAAATCTAATTACAGAAATAAAAAATGTGTATCTGGCACAATATCATCTAGACAGTTTTATTACTGGCACTTCTCTCCCTATTTCTATAATACATAAAATAATTACAATGTTCACAGTAATGACTCACGCAAGATAAGTCACTAAAGCGCCTTCCAAATCATCAAGAATGATTAAAGGCCATTGTAATAGTTTTGGTATTAAATGCATCACACTATATTCTAATTCTTGAAATTTTATATATAATATAACCCTGTATTAGTAAGTATATTTAATCAATTAGAAACCTACTTCTTGACCATACTGAATAAGAAAATATATTGTAATGAACTCATGGCTCTGGCTAGCAAAGAAATAAAACAAAGCTAACATATAACTTTGATTCACAGTTGAAAAAAAAAAAAACTACCTGAGTAATTCTGGGTAAACACCTACACTTTTTCCATGCCTCTGTTTCCACTGCTATATAATGAGGATAAGAGTAAACATCTCACAGGATTGTTATGAAGATTAAATATTTTATACACATAAAGTATGAGGAATAGTTATCTGACACATAGTAAATGCTCAATTAAATGAAAGATTATTATATGGTAATGGTAAAACACTGAGTCCTTTCCTTCTCAAGTTTTCTGACTTTTTATTCACATATATGTTTGATTTTGGAGGTGAGGGAAATTTTTTGTTTGTCTTTGAGGAAAGGCAGTATAGGAGTTGAAGAGTAATTATTAATTGATGTAAAGATCAAAAGGGCTGTCAATCTCTGAAGCACAGCTCTATTTTCTCAGTAAAGTTAGGTAAGATCACTGATCTTTTTTTGGTCATTATTTTACTACACTATATGGTATATTCAATTCCCAGCCTTTTTGTCAGAGAGGGAGCAAATATTCATTGTAACCTTGTCAATAAGGTATCATATGCCACCTGTTGAGACATGAAGATGGCTGGATTACATAAAGGTTTTTTCCCTGAACTGTTATCTGCTGTGACAGAGTTTATCTGCACATTTCAATTATTGACTTTTTAAAAACACAGGTATTTTGTTTTCCATAAACCATGAATAAAAATGTTCTTTTTGAGACTTTCAAGAAAAGAAAGAATATATGTACTACCTTTGTAGCAGGCACTTAGTCTCAGTAAAATCAAAATTTCCTGATGGGATTTAGCCATCAACAGTAGGAGCCTTGTAGCAGTACTTCTTATGACTGGACTAGGAGTTGATAAAAGTTTGAAAACAACTTCATCTAAAATTGAATGCAGGGTTTTCACTTCTATTCTGAGTAAATCACCACTAATAGAACAAAATAAAAAAAAATGTACCGTTACTAAACGACATATAAGTATCACAAAAAATTAAACATTACAGGTGCAGCAAGTTAATGCCTATGGCCTGATCCATGAAGATAACCAATAGTTTAAGCAGATAGCTTAGTTCCAAGAATACATCACACTAAATCAATTAATTGAATTCTTACTGTAAGGCACCATGCTAGGTAAAGTAAGGAATACAAAGTTGCCAAAGAAACTTGCAATCAAATACTGGAGGAAAGATAAATGTGCAAAATAGTAAATAGATGGTTCAAAAGCTTCAAGGCAATAATAAGAGGAAGATCACAGGACATTAAGTACATGGTTCACTGCTTAATGATGTATGAAGACAAACATGTTATAGGAATTCAATTATCATGTACTTAATATAGAAGGAACTTTTTCTTTTAGTATTCCTTTATTACACTAACAACCTCATGTTGCATTACTGATGTCATGAAAAATTACCTGAAACGTCGAAATAGTCAAAAGGGATTACTGGGTGTTCTTTTACTCACCCCACCAAGGAGTATGTGATTTTCTAGGGGTGTGTACCTTTGATTATCCACTACTACTGATTAGGATATTTTGCAATTCTGTAAAAGTAGATGTTGGCTTGTAGAAAGCAAATAATGGCAATGATTATTATCTGAGAACAATGCAAAGAGATTCTTACTCAACAACAATATAAATGACTTTTATCCAGTAGAAAAAGTAACCGTAAAGGTTATGCCTGATATTCTCTACCATTCAGCTTCTGTGATAAAATGTTCTTCTGATCCTCTTCCATCCTCTACTTACAGATTTTTGACCATTCTTTCTCAGTCTTCTTTGTGGGCTCCCGTTCCCCAATATACCCCTTAAAGGTTACTCCCCAGGATTCCATTTTCAGCCCATTTCTTTTCTCACTCTATTCATATTTTCCACTGAGCTCATCTTCTCTCATGTTTTTAACTCTTGTTTTTAGGCTAACTCATAAGTCCACAGTTCTAGTCCAGATCTCTTCCAGAGGTCAAATTCACTTGTCAGTGGACATTTAAGTTGTCTTGTCTTTGGGTGTTACAGATAGAGCTGCTATAAACATTTGTGTACAAGTCTTTGCATGGACTCTTATTTCTCGGTCTGTTGAAAATATCTACCTATGTTGGACATAACCAATATTGAATTTGTTTTGGCTATACCACTGTCTATTATCCATTATAGAAAACTTGGTGTCATACCTGAATGCATCCTTTATCTTACTCCGTATCAAAATGCTCATGAAGCCCTAATGATTTTTTATTTTGACCAGCTTCATTAAAGTATAATTGATATACAACAAACTGCACACATTTAAATGTACAATTTGGTAAGTTCTGACATTTCCCCATCACAATCAAGATAATGAACATACCCATCACCCCCCAAAGCTTCCTTTTGTTTCACTGTAGTCCCTCCCTTCTTACCTTCCCTGGCACCTTATACCCAGGCAACCACTGATCTGCTTTCTGTCACTATAAATTAATTTACATTTCCTAGAATTTTATACATAGTTATGATTGTAGATCCTATCTGAACATCATCAGTTTGCAGAAATGATTACTTTGTATTACTAAAGGAAGAGGGGAAAAAAAAAAAAGAGCAAAGCAGAGATTCTATGATGGCACAAGTTTGATTTTCTCATCCTTTTAAAGCCAAATCAAAGTATGACCATTTCTGCTAAACTTCCTGCCTTTGTATTACTTTACAAATAAAGAAAATTTTAAGATGTAGGCAGTTTCAATAACCAGATGTGGTTAAGTTGCTTGGAAACAATTTGATCCTTTCAGATCTTGCTTTTATTTTGTTTGGATGATCCAGAATGGTGCTCAGTCTAGTGCTATTATCCCCCACTACTAAGATGAAACCATCCTGAGTACTCTCAGTGCTCCATTTTTCATGTAGTTTTCCAGTTTGGCTGCTGGAATCAGTCAGTATTCCTGGCTCTGTGTTTCTGGTACGGCTCCTTTTAATCCTTCTGGATTACTGTTTTCCACGACATTGGATAGTTTCCTCAAACGCATGTGCTGATCAGTACTCTACTGAAAGCTTGTAGGGGACTCTGCAGATCTCTGGGGTTCTCTCTTTGTATAGCTCTCTCTTCTATGGTATCCTGTCTTATAAACTCTAGCCTACTTTTCACCCTCTGCATGTTGTTTCTTACCTGTGTGCACTTGCTTATATTGTTACCTCTGCCTAGAAATACTGTTTTCTCTTCTTCCTCCCTGGCTAATTTCTTATCTGTAAAGTTTCATCTCAGGTGTTAACCTTCTCCAGGAAGTAGCCCCCCCCCCCAGTTTGGTTTAGGAGCTCCTCTAATACTTGTGTACCCTTAAACATGGTAACTTATTACACTGTAATATAATTGTCCTTATGTGTTAGTCTCTTCCACTATACTGTAAGCTATTTGAAGACAAGGTTCATATCTTAATCAATTTTGTAAACCCAATGACAGACAAATACTTGGCATGTATAGTAGATGCTTAACAAATCCATATTGAACTGAAAGAATCAATGATTTCAACAGTGTTTACTCTGCCTTTCTATTTTAACCTGGGAAAGTTACCTATTACTTCTTTTATGCCCTTCTATAGCACCTGGCAAATACTAAGCTTGCAGTTTGCTAAATAAATATATGATTAAATATTTTTTATTGTGATCCCAATATTTTCCTTCAGATATCACAGTAATTTTTCTTCTCTAAGCCTGAGATTTGGGCTAAAATCTTCTTAAGCTCTAAGATAAGATACAAATTTGATAACAAATTTCCAGTCTTTTACAGTATTTTACATCCATTTTTTTCTGAAATACAATGGTAATAATAGAGCTTTTTAAATGCCATGTACAAGTCATATGCAATTGAAGATTTTTAGGAAAATTGGAATAAAATTGGTAATGCTTCTGATCACAAATAAAAAAATTCTACATATTTTGTAAGGCCAAGTTACCTGTTGATCTGTAGTACGTTCTGCAGCATGGTCATGACCGTAGATCCTACCTGAACATTGTCACTTTGTAGTAAGTGTAAGAAATGATCACTTCGCAGTACTAAAGGAAGAGAAAATAAGAAAGATTAAGATTCTATGATGATACAATTAGTATTTACTTGCCCTTTCAAAATGAAGCCAAAGCATAATCATTTGTTAAACTTCCTGCCTTTATATACTTTGCAGTAAAGATTTTCTAGAATAGTTTCAATAACTATAATAGATAGCTATCCCATTTTTATGGACAATTACAAATAAAGAAATACTTAGCTAAGATGGGACTTCCCTGGTGGCACAGTGGTTAAGAATGTGCCTGCCAATGTAGGGGACACAGGTTCCATCACTGGTCTGGGAAGATCCCACATGCCACAGAGCAACTAAGCCCATGAGCCACAACTACTGAGCCTGCACTCTAGAGCCCACGAGCCACAACTACTGAGCTCGCGTGCCACAAATACTGAAGCCTATGCACCTAGAGCCCGTGCTCCACAACAAGAAAGCCACTGCAATGAGAAGCCCACGCGCTGCAACGAAGAGTAGTAACCCCCGCTAGCTGCAATTAGAGAAAGCATGAAGACCCAATGCAGCCAAATATAAATTAAAAGAAAAATAAAGAAATACTAAGCTAAGAATCTACTGTTATCTCCCCTTAAATTAAAAGTAAATCTCCTTTCCTAGCAGTGATTTCAGTGAAGAAAACCAAATTTTCTGTGAAAAAAAGAGAATGTGAAGGAATAGCAATGGTACAGATGACTGTAATCAGCGGCTCATGTCCTTACAAATTTAATTGTTATATAATGTATCATGTTTATCATGTTTGCTAATATCTTATCTTAAATAATAATAAATCATTAATTACCCAGAAGAGTATTTGTTTTTATTGGTTTATAATTTTTAGGTTCTGAGCAGCCAGTTATGAAGACTTGGCACTGGATGCTTACTTACGCAAGTCACTTAACCTCTCAGAACATCTATTTCTCCCTCTAAAACTAAAAATAACAGCTCTTTCACAGACTCCTGTAAAATGTCCTAGAACAGCGTGGGTTCCCAGTAAATGCCAGTTTATAGTCCTTTCTTCACTAACTGATCAGAATTTTTTTAAAAAATAAATAAATTTATTTATTTATCTTTGGCTATGTTGGGTCTTTGTTGCTGTGCACAGGCTTTCTCTAGTTGCGGTGAGTGGGGGCTACTCTTCATTGCGGTGTTCGGGCTTCTCATTGCAGTGGCTTCTCTTGTTGTGGAGCATGGGCTCTAGGTGTGCAGGCTTCAGTAGTTGTGGCGCACGGGCTGTGGAGCGCAGGCTCAGTAGTTGTGGCACACAGGTTTAGTTGCTCCGTGGCACGTGGGATATTCCCAGACCAGGCCTTGAACCCGTGCCCCCTGCATTGGCAGGCGGATTCTTAACCACTGCGCCACCAGGGAAGCCCCTCAGAATTTTAATTAAAGTGGGATCAGGTATGTTGGCAAGGCAGCTCTGTGAACACTACCCTAGCTTCTACAAAACAACTTTCCTCTTTTCCTCTTTCAGTTTCCTGAGGGAACGTATTTGATTTCTTTCACATACTAACTACTGTTCTTCATTTCTATTTATATAATCCAGTATTTCAATATCTCACCAGATACCATTCTTTTTTAATGTTTAACAACTTCAAAACACAGTACCACCACTATTAAATATTTTTATGGCTTCTAATTTTCTATTCTTTAATAGTAAAAAAATTCTCATCTGTAGCTGGGATAAGTGTATTTTTCCATTTTTGTCTACTTAAAGATGTTTCATTAACAACTCTTTAATTAACTTTGAATTCACTGAAATCATGTAGTATCTAGTGTGTATATACATTTTTTCTATATTGGAAAAATTATGATAATTTATTAAAGTTATTCTACTTTATTTTTTATACTATTTGTCTTATATTATTATATAACTTATTTTTGGAGCCTCTATTATGTTTTTCAAGTGCAGTCAGATAATTATTTGGTCCCCCAAACTAAAACTGATACTTCTTCCCATTTCTTTATTTAATTAAACTTTTTACAATTAAAGTTTCAAACATATGTAAGAGTAGAGAGAACAGTATAATGACCCTGTATGTACCCGTTACTCAACTTTAACAGTGATCAACTCACCAACAATCTTGTTTCATCTATCCCATCTTCTACTTCCTGCCTCCCATTTTATTTGAAAGCAAATCTAAAACATCAAATCATTTTATCCACAAGTATTTCAATACATATTCCCAAAACATATGAATTAGTAAAAAATAAAACATAGCCATTATCTAACCTAAATAATCATGATTCCCTGATTTTATCAAATATCCAGTCAGTCCTCCCATTTCCACTTTTTGTGTGAATTTTTTTTTTTTTTTTTTTTTTTTGCGGTATGCGGGCCTCTCACTGTTGTGGCCTCCCCCATTGCGGAGCAGGCCTCTCACTGTTGTGGCCTCTCCCATTGTGGAGCACAAGCTCCGGACACGCAGGCTCAGCGGCCATGGCTCACGGACCCAGCCGCTCCGCGGTATGTGGGGCCTTCCCGGACTGGGGCACGAACCTGTGTCCCCTGCATCAGCAGGCGGACTCTCAACCACTGCATCACCAGGGAAGCCCTTTGTGTGAATTTTTAAAAGTTTATTTGAATCAAGATCCAATTAAGAGTCACACATTGGAACTGGTTATCTTTCAAATTCCTTTTAACCTATGGGTTTCTACTTTACCTTTTTCCTTGCAATTTATTTATTGACGAAACTATGTCAATTGTCCTATGAGTTTCCCACAGTCTAGCTTTGCTAACTGCATTCCTGGGGTATAATTTAATGTTTCTCTGACCTTCTAAAAATTGGTAGTTGGAGCTCCAGGATCAAAATGATTCATGTTTGAATTTTTGGCATATCCATGTCACATGTGAGGTTATGATGAGGCACTTATTATCTGGCTGTCTCTCCTTTTGAGGTGTTGACAAGTGATGGATAATTCACTAAAGGTTGCAAAATGGCACTATTCTATCATACCCTTTTCACTTATTAGTTGGGATATGTTTATAAAGAAAAGTTTCTCCTCATCAATATGTAAAAAAAGGCAGTATAAATGCTGGACTCTCCATTTACCAGTTTTCAAAATGAACTGGTCCCCTAGCAGACTCTAATGGTAACTTTTATTAATAATGGTATGGGAATATATAAAAAAAGATTAGCAAAATGTTGATAACTGTTGAAGCTCAGTGATGAGTACATAGGGGTTCATTATACTATTCTACTTTCCATAATAAAAGGTTAAAGTTAATAATCTCACTATATTTGACGAGTTTTAATCCACTGTAGTTATTAACCTTATTACTGTTCAAATGTCCCATTTTTAGCTAGTAGAAGCCTGCTTATGTTGGCTCCTGAGTCCTTTTCACAGAATCCTAACAGACTTTGATTGCTTCCTTCCTATCTAGTATTCAAGATACTTCTGGCTTACCTTGCATATTTTCTACCTCATACCTATATACAGTCAGCCATTTCTCCAAGGAGGTGGCTCTTTTGAGAGAAAAGGTTACTGGACATCCTAATTTTGTATCCATTGTTTAACTTAGTTTTAATACCTACTTTATTGGTGTTTTAAATCTACAGATTGATCTGAGGAGTACTGTCACTTTTGTTTTAATTTTTGAAAAGGAATATGACAGGAATATTTAAAAAATTTTCAAGTATTCTCTCACTGTCTCTCTTTAACTAGGTCTTTAATATCTCACTATAGTGTGGCTAAGTACTTTATATTTTTGGTAAAATAGTTCTTTAAGTTGGGAAGTTTATAATAATATTTGTTCTATAATGGGAAATGAATAGATAATACTTATTTTTAAAAGAAGTATTCAAGCATGTTACTTAGCTCTATGTGGATATAACTACCAAAAGTATTAGTTATACTAATGGAAAGTAGTTGCCTTTAGAAAACGGGAACTGGAGTGAGGTGTGAGGGCCAGGGATTGTGTGTATTTTTTAAACAATTCTTACGGAACTATCCAACTCTTTAAATTATGCACATACATAATTCTGAGAGTAAAAAATAAAATATCAATATTCAGTTCAATTTTAACGTTCTAAAAAATATCATTGTTCTTATATTATTCCTATATAATTACATTTTTCTTAGATTAAATCTTTCAAGAAGGTAAGAATGTTATCATGATTATTATTAGTTTACTTTCTCAGTCTTAAGGAAACATAATATAAAACTAACATGTATTTGTATTGTTCAAAGTAAGTACAGAAATCCTATAAGTAACTTTCAAGTTTAGTAAAATATCACTATATAAAAGCTTACTCTTACATCAATAGTTAGGCTGTGAGTTAAATTATATCTATACTCTGTACATAGGGATTTCTATCATACTAAGTCTAAAATATAACTGTAATCTTTGGGGGAAAAAAAAAGATTTTCCCTAGACTAAACTGTTAAGATCATTAATCCTTATCTTAGATTTGCTAAATAGAAAAAACTAAGGAGAAAGTTATATTTTAGCAATTTTCCACTTAATGTAATATCCACATTGTTGATGTTGTCTATTTAAAGCTGGAACATCCAAATGTGCTTTTATTTTTTGTGTGTGGGGTTATTTCAGTGTGGCTTCATTTAACTGTGGTTATCTGTAGTTAATGAGGTATTTATTTTTAGAAAAAAAAAATCAAACTGCTAGCAGGTGACTCTACAATGACTATCAATTAAAAAATCTTTTTTCTTACCATTCTGGATGAGCTGAACATGTCCTCCCAATAGCCAGAAGAGAGAATCAGTCACAATTTCAAAAAAGTGTAGTAATGCATCTTTTTCTTCACCCTTAACACACACAAAAAAAGCCAATTGACTTTTCTGTAATTGTTTTAATTAATAAAAAAATAGACTTCTCTCTGAGGAGTCACAGGACCTGGTTTCTGCATCTATCTCAGCTATTTATGAGGTACATGATCTTGTAGCTTTTAGTTTCTTAATTTATAAAACTGTGGTAACAGGCTAGTAATACCTACTCTACTTAACAGAAATGGTTGCTATCCAGAGGTCAAATGGGACAATATACGTAGTATAAGAACTACAAGTTGATACACTAAGATTTTTCAGTACCAGCTATACATAAGAATCATCTGTGGAGTTTAAAAAAATATCCCTATGCACAGGCTTCAGTCCAAACATACTGAAATCTGAATCTCCAAAGTTAAAAGTCTGGACACCTGACTCTTTACAAGGTTAGCTGTGTGATTTGTTTATGTAGCCAGGGTTGAAAATCACTGCAATATGCAAATGTAGGTGTCAACATAAAAAGCATTATTATTAGTGCATTTCAGTTGCAGCTTCTACTCTATGACTCCATGAAGGCAGAGACCATGTTATTTAGCTCTCCACTATACACCCAGTGTCTAAAACAGTTCTGACACACAGTGAATGTTCAATCAATATTTATCCAATAAATAAATGACAATTTTTTCTGCTTCTTTCCTTCCGGAAAGTAGGGTGAGAAATTATTCTACGTTAGAGTATGTGTCACAATGGGAAATAAGAAACAGATTACATTCACAATTCTGTCTTACTGGCCACATAATTTTAGTGGAAAGTTGTATAAAGGCCATTCATCTTATCCATGTCCTGAATGTACTGTGGCCTAAAAGTAATGACAACAGCAAAAACATGGTTGCTATGGTTACTCTTCATAAAAATGAAAGTATTTTCTTCCTATTATTCTACCTCAGGGTTAGATAGGTGCTTAAATAGACGTATACTAACAAATATACCAACAATCAAAAAAGAAAGAAGTGTCACATTAGATCAAGAATCCCTTTAGTCCAATAAACTGCCTTAGCCAGTTTCACTGAAATAAAGGGCATGGTAATCATTGCTTCCAACCTCGAGGTATAGTGCTGGGCTCCTATACTTACTACTTTCTTTTAAAAACCCATTAGATAATGTCAACCACAAATTCATGGCCTCTGAGACTGGTTAACAAAATTTACCCTTAAGTCACTACAAAATTCTGGCAGTTATTTTCCTATTCTTACATATAAAATACATATATTGGGTTGGCCAAAAAGTTCATTCGGGTTTTTCTGTAACATGTTATGAAAAACCCAAAACCTTCTGGC